AGAGAGAGAGAGAGAGAGAGAGAGAGAGAGAGAGAGAGAGAGAGAGAGAGATAGAGATAGATAGTTTAAGGGAGAGAGGCACAGTTCGAGGGAGAGAGAGACGGCCTGCTCACCTGAGGTGGTTCCTGGGCACGTGCTGCACGTCCTTGTACACCATGTGCAGGCGCACGGTGTCGGAGTGGCAGTCCGACTTGAGCGCCCACGCCTGCTTGTCGCGGTCGTAGCACTGCGCCGTGACGGGCACGGGCACCCGCCGGCCCAGGTTGTCGAGCGCGTCCAGGCCACCCGGCGCGCCGATGCTGCCCGGGGCGTCCCGCGCCAGCCCCATCGACGTCACGGCCACCTCGCTCATCGTGTTGGCCAGCAGCATCTCCAGGTGCACCCGCACCACGCCCTGCGCGTCCACACAGAGTTCAAAGACCGTCCCTCAGGACCACCACGAGAGGGGTGTCAATACATTCAGACACACAATTTCGAAAAGCAGGCGCGGGAAAATGTCCACTTTTGAAGCTCTATTGACTCCACGCAGTTGTGTTCACCTTGTGCAGCACGTCGGCCAGCCTGGCCCGCGGGTGCCAGCCCAGGCCCCGGCCCTCCGTGTCCGAGACGGTCTGCAGCGTGCCCGACTCGAGCCGCCGGTCGCCGTCGCCCAGGGTCACGGCGTAGCGCACCCGGCACGCGTGGTCGAAGCCCGTCAGCCTGTTGATGTACACCGCCATCCTGCCCTCGCTGCCACCTGCGGAGGCACGAAAATATTGAGTTTGAGAGTTTGAACTGGAACTAAGCGCTGCAACTTGAGTGGTCGCGAACGGACGAAAAATTCTCACTAATACGAAATAATAAATGTTATTACACAATGACAAAGTTGCACTCATAAAATAGTAATCTCAAAATAAAACTATATCGGTCCGACACGATACTACTGGCGCACAACTGCACCGCATACACACTCACTGTCCTTGCTGAGCGGCACGATCGACAGGTTCCAGTCGTAGCCGCCGAAGGTGAAGTAGCTCGTCTCGAGCTTGTTGCCGGCCTGCTTGGCCGGGGTGCCGTTGGTGCCGTTGCTGGCGGCGGGCGCGCCCGGGGTGCCCGGCGTGCCCGGCGCCGCGCCCACCGTGCCCGTGTGGTGGCCGTGCCGCGAGCCGCCGTGCCCGTGCGCGTGGTGGCCGTGCGTCGTCGGGTTGCCGAAGATGTTGGTGGGCACGCGGATGTCCGCGTTGTACACAGTGCGCACGTGGCCGATGCTCAGCTCCAGCTGGAACTCGCCGTTGGTGTCGGTGAAGTTGCGCGCGTACAGGTCGCTAACCGGGATGTAGTTCTTGTTGCCCTGCGCCGGCGCCGCCATCGTAAACTTGACCTGCGGCAACGTAACGATCGGGTCAAGGGGGCAATCTCTCTTTTTTATTCAAAGAAACAACAACAAAAAAACAAACGAAACAACTCGACAGAGCTCGAAGCAAAACAATAAATATTACAGAATTTCAGGCGAAACACTTTTTCTATGAAAATTTTGGATTTGGCAAAACAATCTCGGAAATTAATTGGCATTTCAGCACTCCATAAATAGTTTATTGTTCTATGCAAACCCAACAGCGTTCTTCACAAGGAAGAGTGTCCTTACACACAAAGGACACACACACACAAATATAAATGTGTAATTGCCAAAAAAAAAAACACACACAAAATGGTCATGTGAACTATGGTAAGTGTCCTTTGTCCTTACAAGCACATGCACAAATATAGATGTGTAATTGAAAAAAAAACAAAAAAAAAACAACAACACACAAAATGGTCATGTGAACTATGGTAAGTCACGCTGCCTCGTCTACTATGGCAAGGACACTGTTGGGTTTGCAGTAATCCAAAGAAATGTTATGGGCTAGTGATAGAAAATGCGCATGCAAGTAAGACAAACATAGAATTATAATCAAACGAATCAAAAGAAACATGTGGGTGGTGGGAAACGATATGACACATCACGCTGACACTTTTTCACGTGCGCGATTTCATCGTCCACGCAAAGTTTTCAGGACCCTCCAACCCTCTTTCATCATCGCTCGCCAACCAGGCCCGCCCGCCCCACGAGGACGACGCCGCCGCGGCTGTCTGCACAAAGATTCACTTTGATAGTGGCGGAGCGCGGGGCCGGGCGGCGCCGGGGGGCTAAACCCTCGCGGCCCGCGCTATTACTATAGGGAGAGGGAGAGAGAGGGAGGGAGGGAGGGAGGGAGGGAGAGAGAGAGAGAGAGAGAGAGAGCCGCGTCCTAACGACCATGAAATTGACCCCCTCCCTTCCCCCCCAACCCCTTCCTACTGCCTCCTCCAAGCCGACGACGACGACGAGATGTCGCGCCTCCCAAAGCCTTAACAGCCTGATGAGCTCTGCAGCGCTCGACAACCGTCGTCGTCGTCGTCGTCGCGCGACTCAGATGAGCATAATGGGTGATGAAGACGAGGAGCTTGAGTCCACCTGGCACGCGCCGCCCGCAGACCGTTATCAATAATTGCAGCGTCTCCCCCCCCCCTCTCTCTCTCTCTCTCTCGCTCTCTCGCTCTCTCTCTTTCCTCCTCCTTGGAAGCGCGCGGCGGGAGAAGAGGTGGGCAAATGGATTAGGTGCGGGCTGATCAATTAACCACCGCAGCCTCCGCCGAGTCAAGCCAGGATGGCAGGATGGCATGGGGAAAGTGGGGGGTCCCTCCGCCTCGGCGTGTGCCGCCAGAAATTAAAGGGGCGTTAAACGGATACAATGGAGGGGGAGGGACGCTTGTTGAGATGAGGGAGGGGGAAAACACAACGGAGTATTTTCTCTCCTCTCTTCCCAGGCCCCTACCCTACCCCTATAGTCTGTCTTTCTCTCAGCCTCTCCCCCAAAACTCTCTCTCTCTCCTTCTCTCCCTTCGCTCTCGTCTCTTCTGCACCAATATTGACTCCATCAGCAAGCGCTTACTTGTGCCCTTCACAGAGGAGAGAGAGAGAGAGAGAGAGAGAGAGAGAGAGAGAGAGAGAGAGA